ATTGTTAATCGATAAATACAAATCATAACATATTATAATATTATTGAATATCAAGAATAATAAGAATGGTGTATCTTGTAGAATTTGAAAGATTGTCGTCAGACAGTGAGTTTTGTGAGAGAATTACTACCCTCATTGTCATTTAGGATTTTCATTGTGTGTTAATCGTTTAATGAGACAACGCTTAAATAACTAAACGACTGAGAGCAGAAACCTCACATTGGGCTTAAAAAAATTCAATCAAATAACTCATTAATAATTAATGTTTTATAAAAATTGATCATAGTATAATTTATTAATGATTAATTATGTCAATTTACAATTGAAAAGTATTACAAACTATATTCTATGGTGTATATTGTCTAAGACACTTTGTCCAAGTTGGTAGAACAAAATTTCAAAAAAAGACGAAATATTAATTAGATACGACATATTTTTGAAATAATGAAAACATCCATGTTACGTACTCTTCAAAGTGAACCACCACCATAAACCTTGCCCACATCTACATCACAATTCCTGTGTGGGGGAAGCTAGCTTTAAAACTTGTGTAGTTGACTTCAATATTCAACTATTCACACTTACAAGTCTTTGGATTTGAAAAATCATACATGCTTTTCTTTTTCATTGAATATTATATATGATACAAAAAGAAAGGTTTTAATGCGGTTTTCTCCATTCTGTATTTCAAAGCCTGTGAGTTTTCCACTTGGGGTGCAAAGCTTCAGAAAAGAAGAGGTAAAACGTTTATCTTATATTCTTATATATGCTCTTTTGTATGGATTTACGAACTATTATTAATCACTCATATTTTGGTTATATATTATATGTTCATTGTTAGCTTATTTATCAATAATTGATATTGTTAATTTTCTTCTTTAAAGTGAGTTCAATAAATTTTTGAAAAAACTGATAGTTTGGAGTGTGTTTTGGAGAAAGATTTTAGATTAGTTATAGGTTTATTAAGTCTTCTACTATTTTATAAAAGGCCAGTGGTTGGTGTTTACGGTTCCAGTGTGAAAGAGTGCTTAGCTATAATAACTATGAGCTTCTCATGCAGTGGGGTGGGAAAGAGACTTAATTGCAAAGTTAACACTCTTATATTCAAAAAAAAGTGAATGAAAAATGATCTGAGTGAGAATAAATTTGAATATTTGATAATGACGCAATTTTACTCTTTTATAGTAAAAGTAGTTTAAGATGAAAGTGGGGAGTACAATGTGGATTGTCGTAAGCTATTCGATTGATCCGGACGGTTGATAATGCTTTAGAGATGTAATTGTGTATTCTAGACAAAGATAGAAGCACATCTATTTCTCATATGCGCTTCCTTGTTTCGCCTCTAGTTCTTTTGTTCTCACTTTATAATATTGATTTTTCAATAAGGTGAAGGGTTTGGAATGGAACATTCTTCTTTTTCATGGGCTTGATTACAATGACATTGATGGTAGTAGACTATTTGAAGTTCTTAAAGCTTGTTAGTTTATCTAGGGTGTATGCCATCCTTTTAGTGGGCAGCTAAAAAAATTCTCTCAAAATTGTCCTTGTGAATTACAACTTCCATTCCTATAATGGATGTTTTCAAGAGGTTCCTACGAGCTTCATGTTTAGGCATAACTCTTTTACTAAGTTCAAAAATATTCTATCCAGTATTTGAGTGAAGAGTTCTTTAAGAGAAACTTGACAAATCTGGTGATAACGTTTGTGGCTTTTCAGGAGACTTGATTCTAGATACCATGGTTGAATAGCTTTCTTGGCCAGAATAATCATCTTTTCTTCTTGTTTTCGTTTTATTAAGCTTGTAGAGAACACATTTGTTCTTGGTGTTTCTCTTTATTTCTGACTTGAGGTGGCCTTGGTGATACTTATGGCAGAGGAACTCATACAAGAAAAGGTGGAAGATAGTATGAATGAGATGCAAATGGTAGTGAAAAGAAACATACCTATTTATAGTGTCTCATTTGAAGATTTAATCATGTATTCTAGATAAGCATTTAATGTAGATTATATTGATTAAATATCAAATCAAAATATTTCTTGATTTAGTGAGCAAATCAATTAGTTAAGAGCTCTAATTGATTAGTTTTTCAAATTTTTCGGGATTTTGTGCGATCTTCATTAATGTTGAGATTTGATTTGCTTTAAGCACAATTTTGGCTTGGATTTAATTTGAAATTCAACATGCTAAACTCTTCTAATCGATTGTGCTAATCGATTAAGCCTATGTGTTTTAGCCCCATTGGTGTCTGGTGGGCCTTGTGTTAGATTTTTGCCTTTTCAGCACCCTTATTTGTCATAATTTGCACCCGAGGGTGGTTGCTCGAGAATTGCTTAGTATAGTTTTGTGAATCAAGTGGGCTCCGTGTGAATCTACAGGAATGCCGATTAATTCGCCAAAACTGTTGTGTAGTTCATCTTCAAGTGAACAGTAGAGACAAGCGCGTCTAACGTCATGAGGAAAGACTTTCATAAAATGCAATTGAAGACGCTTTTATAAGGGATCACTAAGAAACACAAATCAATTGTCCTCTCACTCATCCCTTCAGTAAAAGAAACCGATAATTATATGACTCTACACGGGTAAGTGGGAGAATCATTGAACACATAAAGACTCCTACCCTCGCATGGTGCGAGGTCTATATCGCGTAGCCCCAATCTCATAAAGATGCTTGCGAACATGACATTGCAAGAGCTTTCATCATGAATAAGAGTTCCTGAGATGATGTGGTTAGTTATTGCGACACTTCCAACCAATGGAAGCGTCGCATTGGAAATCTCATCCACCTTTTTCATTGTCTCAGAACCTAGGGCAGATCTATCTTCTTCATGCCTTCTCTTTGCCACTAGTGATCTTGAAGAATCTTTTGTCGTACGCTTTTTGTTTACTTTCTCCCCACTAGACGTTCCATCATTAATCGGAGAGATGACGAGGGCGAGTTAAGAGGATGGTTTCGAGCTTGATGAACTCGTGGTGATTATAAAAATTGAATCGGAGATCATCGTCGTCCTTCAAGCAAGATCGTTGTAGCCAATACGTGACTTTAGAATCAGGAGGATCTGATTGTAGAGATACATGAAAATAAGAAGGTGATATCATAGATGGCGATGGCGCCACTGTTCTGGGGTGGAACTAGAAATGATAAATATAAGTGGAATGAAGCCTAATAGGTTGACGACTAGTGTTTCTAATATGGCGGAGCAGGAGTGGACATTCAAAATTAACACTCCAACACCCATGTTAATGAATATTGGAGGAGAAGTGAAAATGCGAGTAAGAGTGAGATCAAACATGTGAACAACATGTGATGGAATTTATATATCATAGTGAGATGCAAAGAAATCAAATCTAACCGTGGGTATTCCTTGGCCATTAGGGATTAAGTGTTGGACTCCCCACCACTGTTATACATGATCTTTAGCTAATTTGTGGAAGTGTCTTTTGGGTGATTGACCTTTCTGCCTTTTGAGCCTTTGATTGGTCCGGAACAAATATCAATCACTTGAGCTAGACTTTGATGATATTTTTTGTTTGATTTTTGAAGAAAATATACTTAATTTGAATACACATAGTTGTATGCATCTAATTTATTCCTAATTTAAATATAAGAAAATACATTTGCATTTAATTTTGGTTGACTAGAACAAAAAATAGTTTAAACAAAGATGATTAGTACATGATAATTGTTGATGAAAGAAGCAATAATGTGTTACATAGAAGTTTTTACATGGATTTATGTGTAGATCATGTGATTGTGTTATATCTCAAATCTATCTATTCGTTATCAGATTAAAATTTCAATTCATCTTTTATAGAATGGAAGAAGCTAATGGAAATTCAAGATTAGGAGAAGGAAAAGCTGTCCGTACACCAATAAAATTGGAATCATTTGAGAACATTACTAACTATGGTAGAGCGCTCCTGAACACGCCGCTCCGACTATTGGATCGAGTTACAGCCCGATCTAATGACGAAGTCGAGTTGGTGGATGTGAAAAAACGAAGTCAGCACGAAATGAAGAAAACACTAACATGGTGGGATCTGATATGGTTTGGCGTGGGCAGTGTCATTGGCTCAGGCATTTTTGTTTTAACAGGACTTGAGGTTAGAAACACTGTGGGACCTGCTGTGGTGTTATCCTATGCTGTCTCTGGCCTTTCTGCTATGTTGTCTGTTTTTTGTTACACTGAATTTGCTGTGGAAATCCCTGTGGCTGGTATGTATTGTTTACAACAATTGAAAAGTGTTGGCAAAACCTTTGACTAATTGAAAGGTGATTTCATGGCTTTATTACAGGTGGTTCCTTTGCTTACCTAAGAATTGAGCTTGGTGAGTTTGCAGCATTCATAGCGTCTGGAAACATTATTCTTGAATATGTAATCGGCGGCGCTGCAGTCTCGCGCTCATGGACATCCTATTTTGCAACACTTTGCAATCAAAGATCAGACAAATTTGTCATCGTAGCGCATTCCCTTGCACACGACTACAACAAGCTTGACCCTATTGCTGTTTTTATTCTAGCAGTTACTTTCTCCTTTGCTGTTTTCAGCACGAAGGGTTCATCGCGTTTAAACTACATTGCATCGATAATACATGTCGTTGTCCTAATGTTCATCATAGTTGCTGGTTTATCAAAAGCCGATGCTGAAAATTATTCTGATTTCACACCCTATGGTGTTAGAGGAGTCTTCAGTTCCGCCGCTGTTTTGTTTTTCGCTTATGTTGGATTCGACGCCGTTTCCACAATGGCCGAGGAAACGAAGAATCCCGGAAAAGATATACCTATTGGTCTAATAGGATCAATGACACTTACAACATTTATTTATTGCATGATGGGTGTGACACTTTGTCTGATGCAAAAATATTCAAATGTTGATGAAAATGCTGCTTATTCGGTTGCATTCGAAGCGGTTGGAATGAAATGGGCTAAGTACATTGTTGCATTTGGTGCATTAAAAGGAATGACTAGTGTCCTACTTGTTGGTGCTGTTGGTCAAGCAAGGTATCTCACACACATTGCAAGAACAAATTTGTTACCTTCATGGCTTGCAAAAGTGAATGAAAAAACCAAGACACCAGTTAATGCCACTATTGTTATGTTTATTGCAACTGGTATTGTTGCATTTTTCACAAGTCTTGATGTTCTTGCTAATTTACTTTCAATTTCAACTTTGTTCCTTTTTTCACTTGTGGCATTGGCCCTTTTGGTTAGAAGGTATTGTGTTAGAGGTGTTACTTCTAGGTTTGATGTCATGAAATTTCTTGGATTCCTATTTCTCATTCTAGCCGCTTCGATTGGATGTTCGATTTATTGGTCTCAAACCACCACAGGGTGGATTGGTTACACTATATTAGTACCTATTTGGTTTGTCGGGACATTCGGCATCTGGTTTTTTGTTCCTCTTGCAAAGAAACCCAAGATTTGGGGTGTACCGCTTGTTCCGTTTTTGCCGTCCGCATCCATTGGCATCAATATTTTCCTTCTTGGAACATTGGATAAGGCTTCATTCAAGAGATTTGGTATTTGGACTGCAATTTTGGTGGTATATTACTTGCTTGTAGGTGTACATGCATCTTATGACATAGCAAAGGCACAAAAGGAGAAGGAAACACTAGAGACTAAGATTGAGTCAAAGACGGATGAAGAAAATGGTGTTTCCGGAAATGAAAATCATACATAGTTGAATTTTTAATTTATAGATATTTTGTTGATAGTTATGTGATTGATGTTTATGTGAGAGTAACATAGACACTCAAGGTGTGTTTCTTTATTTTAGCCTTCCTAGTTTTCTATATGAAAAAGTCCACATATATTTAAGTTATAGACTTTGAGTTTGAATTTATGTGTACATTTGTTTGCTAAACAAGTCTTGTGATCCTTAAAAGCAAGATAAAAAAAAAGCCTTTCAAATTGGAAGTTATTTTGTTCATGAAACCAACATCTAGCAAATGATGCATGCAACAAGTTCTTAGAAAACAGCATATGTAATCCAATGCCAAGGTCCACAAGACATAGAACACTTGGTGCAAATATCACAATTATGAAACAGAAAAGCACTTGATTACCTGTTTCTTTTTCATGCAATGGTGAACGGACGATTCTCAATGAGACGACATGAACGGTGCCAGTGTCTGAACGATGACCAGATCTAATGGTTCTGCAGAAAATTCAAGCTGCCAGGCCTAATGGAAATATCCACAGATATATTAGTAATCACAACCAAGAATATCAAATAAGGTAGTTGGAAGAGGTAGGTATGCCTAAAGAAAGTGGGTCTAATTGGCATTACATCAAACATGTAGTAGGTGTTGGGTGAAGACTCGATATTCACACATTGATTTGATTCAATAGTTCAAAAACCAGAAAGTTCATCCTTAGAAAATCTAAGATCACATCAGTGTAACAACAAGCAATCAATGTTTGGAAAAATGCTTGAGTTTTTCCACCATACATTGATCAATTCAGAACCCGGGTTTCATTAAAGTGATATTAGCTCCTTCAGTAGGTATGAGAGATTCCAAATGAAGCTGAATTCCTATTTGATTTTGCATTAGAAATATCTATTCGATGAAGATTATGTGCCTGTTTTGATTAACAACTTATAATACAGATATTTATCAAAATAAGATCCACCAAAAGTATATTTTAGCAAGCTCATTAAGATTTATTTAATTTTTTTAAGTTAAAATTTATTAAAACACACTTTCATAAAATAAATTTATATATATATATATATATATATATATATATATATATATATATATATATATATATATATATATATATATATATATATATATATATATATATATATATATATATATATATATATATATATATATATATATTGGAGATCATTTTACATCGATGTCAAATATTAATTTTGACACTAAATCATACTCTATTATTATCAATTCAATGACTAATATAAATTCTTTTAAAATACTCATGTATTAATTTTAAAATTAAGTGAATATAACTTAACATTTAAGTTAATAATAATAAACAGTCTAGAAAACAAAATAGTTCATTGGACTGCGTGCAGAACAAGTGCATTATCAATCTCAATCCAAGATCAATCGGATGGGTTTTTTTTATCTCACTGAGAATGTTCCATTTCTAGGGTAATTTGAATTCAATTGTCATTCGTTCCATCTCACTCTCATATTAATTTGGGCATTTGAGTACTAACCTTACAGGCCAGCACATTCTCCATTGTACCGCAAGCTTTAGTCCACCATTGCGATCCACCTCAATTGTTCACCGATCAAATATCGTTCCGATGTGGAACAGTGACGCCATTTGTGGGAATCGATTTTTGATTCCAGCATTTTTCCACATTCAAACATTCATCCCTCGATTCACTGAATTGAAGTTTCATCGACTTAGAAATTCAGATATCTTATGTATGTATTGTAGGTCTCTGTTCTCGATCCTCTCCGGTTGAAGATTAGTATCGTTTATCATATCTCCTTCCATATCCATCAGTGATGGGAGGTTCCAGAGCTACTTACCTGCTACACAACGCGAAGCAGCCGCCGCTACACAGCGTGAAGCTGGCAAAGATCCATTACCTCTCCCTCAAAATGGTGGTGATCAAGTCCTTGTGAATTATCCATTTGTAACGTCACATCAAAATCATGTCTAGCTTAGAACATCTCAAGGAGTCTTTCAACTTTTCTTGTTCTTAGAATCCACTTCGTAGTTTTTACTAGGAGAACCGTCGCTCAGGCCTCTAGCATCGATGACATTATCTAGACTAGAAGCATTCCTTAGTTTTCAGTTGTCACAAAACTAACCTCGGTGTACAATGTGCTAACGAATTGCTGAACAACATTAACAATATGGTATAAACACAATTTCAAAGCCTTAGCGAAAATATTACTTTGCATCGAAGAAATATTAACCATGAAAGTTCGAAGAGCAACGCCATAGAAAAGGCCGTTTGTCGAAGAATCAAACCATCTTCCATGAACTGGAACTAGGGCTGACAATGAATTAAATCAACTCAAAGATAGTTTGAAATTCGACTCGACAATTAAATCGTTGAACTAGGTTCATGAACCAAATGAGTTGAGTATGAGCAAAAAATTAAGTTCGTTAACTAAATGAGCTGAACTTGAACTATACATAGTTCGACTCGTTAGGTTCATGAGTCAACTCGATTACATATGAAAAGAATTATACTGTCTTTAAGATTAGGTTTAAATATTTACTTCAAATCTTAGACAAATTTAATCTTCAATTTAGTAGTTTTTGAATTAGACTCTCAAATGTATCTCTTGAAAGTTGTGTAGGTTTTGAATTAGTAGATTTTGAAGATAAAGTTAAATATCAATATGATAACTTTTATTTTATTTTAATATTTTATTTAAAATATATATATTTATTTAAAATGTCAAATATACTAAAAAATATATATATTTAAAAAAATAGTTTTTAAGTTCGTGAACCATGTTAGCTGAACCTAATGAGATGAACCTAACGAGTCGAACCGAACTGTTCGTGAACTTATAACGAGTCGAGTTTGAGCTTAAAAAGAAGTTCGTGTCGAACTCGAACTCGAACTCGAATTCGAACAATTCTTAACGAGTCGAGCCGAGCTGAGATGAGTTCGACTCGACTCATTTCCAGCCCTAACTGGAACCATCTTGTAGAGAAGTAGTTCTGAAATATCCAAGCCACTGAAGAAGCCAGAGGAACTAAACTCCCCCTCCTGGTCTTGAAGGAGGACGAGGCAGTCACACTCCTCCTGAGGTTCGTCACCTTCAGAAAGAGGAAGAACAAGAGAAGTCACTTTCATCATATAGAGAAATAAGAATCCCATATATATTCGTATTATAGATGGTTGGATTCGAAGGTCACTCGAGAAGAGCCTTCAAAGCTCAAGAGTTACGATGGAACAGGAGATCCGGTTGAGCATGTGCAGCATGTAGATGACCATCATGATTACTATCATGCTAATAGAACTGGAAAGTGAAAACTCTTTGCACACTCTTTAAACGGATCAACTATTATTTGGTTCAAATCTCTACTTGATGGAAGCATAGACTCAAGGACCCACTTGTGCTAGAAATTCATCGCTTGTTTCATGATGACACTTTGTCATCATACAATTTTTATAAGCATTTGCATGTATTTTTGATGATTTTTAGTAGTTTATATTTGATTTTTATGAAGAAATATGAAGAAAATGAAGAAGTGAAAGAAATAATCAAAATGTGGAAAAAGTTAATTGTGAAGAAAAAAAAAGTCATTTTCAACACAATTTGCATCTTTACATCTACTGATAATTTGATCATATCTAAAATTTTGTAACTCAGAATAAGGTGAAACTTTTAAAAAAAGAAGGCTAACAAAGAACTCTAATTAATGAAAAAAATCATGTGTACAATGAAAAATATTATGTGCATGGTGGTGACTGAAAATCAGTTAATGAAATCTTTCTAATCTTATGTCATCTTTATGACATTTTAGATTATGCCATTTATCTAGCCATATAATAACTCACATGACCCATTTGTATCCATTTATTACATATGATAAAGCAAGTCTTTGTGATATATATCATTTTTTCAGACAAAAGAAATTATCTTTCACACATAGTTCTTCTCATGCCAAATCCAAATTTGAGCTTTTGCATTTTGACATATAGGGGCCTTTTTCTATTCCATATGTCCACGGCCATATATACTTTCTTAACATTTTAAATGACTTTAGCAGATTCACTTGGACTATCCTTTTAAAATTCAAATTTGAGGTTTCCAACCATGTGAAATAATTCATTGCCATGATTGAAACTAAATTCAAAACTAAACCACAAACTGTCAGGACTGATAATGGTCATGAGTTCCTTATCACTTCATTTTATGATTACAAAGGTATTCAACACCAAATATATTGTGTTGAGAACCCACACAAAATGGAAAAGTGGAGAGAAAACACCAACATATTCTCAATATATATATGGCCTTTTTGTACCAATCCAAACTGCCAAAATATTATTGGTTTTATACGATACAACATGCAATTTTTACGGTCAATAGGATTACCACCTATACTAAAAAAACAAATCTCCTTATAATGTATAACATAATGAGGAACTTGGCCTACACAATTCAACGTTTTTGGTTGCCTAGTATATGCCTACACATTAGCCAATCGTAGAACAAAATTGGAGTCTAAGGCTAGAAAAACTGTTTTCTTGGGATACAAGGCATGTCTCAAAGGAAGGGTTCTCCTTGATCTTAACACTAAAGAAATATTCATTTCAAGACATACTTCATTTTATGAGCACATTATATCATATCAGGCAACCCATCATTCATCAACGACAAATTGGACCATATACCAAACACCTTACAGTAACCAAACCAGTCCATTAGCCATGCTTGATCCACCACAAAACTAATCTTCATTTATCATTGACATTCCACCATAGACATAAAATCTTATCCTACTTGATTGTAATTCTGATGCTCAACATACAAATACCAACTCTGACACAAATACTAGCCCTGGCACTCCTCCATCTATAGATGCCAACACACCAATCCTCAAACATTCCACAAGAACAAAAAGGCCACAATCTCATCTCAAAGATTACATATGCAATTCATTTATTGGTCAATCTAATCAATCATCATCATCAAGTACTAGTTATCCACTCTATAATTACTT